AATGTGGTAAAATCCTTATTTTCCCTCTTTCTCACACAGTGTGTCCACTGTTCTGTACTTTTCTTCTTTTACTTAAAATTCTAACCTTGTTGTGTCTCCAAGTCAGTGTCCTCCCTGAGCTAATCCCTAGCATGGACCCCATCATCTCTTGCCTGGACCATTGTAGTGGGCTCGTACAGGTCTCCCCATACCCACTGTCTCTCCTTGCATCCCACTCCTCACGTTGAAGACAGAGAGCTCCTCCAGAAATGAGGGTCTATTACTCTGCTCTCTCTTGCTCAAAAACTTTCCATGACTCTCCTTGCCTATAGAAAAAAATTAAAATTCTTAAGAGGGCATCCATGCCCCCCAGAACTGTTTAAGTCAGAACTTTGGGGTTACAATTGGTAGACACTCAACACATTTGCTTAAGTGAAAAAAAAAAGGAGAAGGTACTGGCTTACGACCCTGGAAGTCCCAAAGTGGCCTTGCTTTAGGCCGAGCTGGCTCCAGAGGCTTGAATGATATCGCCAGAGCTCTCCTTCTGTCTCCCTCTCAGCTCTGCGTGTCCCTGCTTGACTCTGAATGTGACTGCACTGAGCTCTCAGGCAGGGACTCTCCACATGGTGGGAAGCTGTCCCTAGGGGTCCAAAGCCCTATCGTTGCAGCTCACAGACCAAAGGAAGAAGAGGCCCTCTCTCTTCCAGTCCCCAGTAAAAAGCCTTCTAAGAGGACTCTTCATAACTTGAAATCTACGTGCTTTGAACCGGGATATGGGGTCCCCATTGGCCAGACATAGGTCTCAGGCCCACATCTATGGTCAGGAGCTGATGGGGCATTCTGATTGACAGTCCCATAAGAACTACACAGGATGGGGGAGGGACAGTTTCAAATGGAGGGGGGGTGCGGATATCTTAAGGAAGTGGGGGAGCCAGTCATGGGGCTGCTAGGGGGAAAAGGCACATCAAGAGCAAATGTCTTGGGCATCCCTGGTGGTGTAGTTTTTAAGAATCCGCCTGCCAATGCAGGGGACACGTGTTCGAGCCCTGGTCCAGGAAGATCCCACATGCCGCAGAGCAACCAAGCCCGTGCACCACAGCTACTGAGCCCGCACACCACAGCTACTGAAGCCCATGTGCCTAGAGCCCATGCTGTGCAACAAGAGAAGCCACTGCAACGATAAGCCCGCGCACCATGATGAAGAGTAGCCCCTGCCCGCCACAAGTAGAGAAAGCCCGTGCACAGCAATGAAGACCCAATGCAGCCAAAAATAAATAAATAAAATAATTTATTAAAAAAATAAAAATATTGGATGCTCTTTCTTAAAAAAAGAAAAGAGCAAATGTCTTGGGACTTCCCTGGTGGTGCAGTGGTTAAGACTCCACGCTCCCAATACAGGGGGTCCGGGTTCAGTCCCTGGTGAGGGAACTAGATCCCATATGCATGCTGCAACTAAGAGTTCGCATGCCACAACTAAGGAGCTGGAGCAACCAAATAAATTTAAAAAAACCAAAAACCTCAAAAAAAAAAAAAAAGAGCAAATGTATTGAGAATTCCCTGGCAGTCCAGTGGTTGGAACTCCGCGCTTCCTCTGCAGGGGGCACGGGTTTGTTCCCTGGTCAGGGAACTAAGATCCCACATGCCACGTGGCGTGGCCAAAAAAAAAAAAGCAAATGTCTTGAGAAGGCTCATGCTTGGTGTAGGCGAAGCGCGGCACAGAGGGCAAAAGGGCCAGAGCAAAAGGGGGCGGGGGGGGGTTGTAGGGGGGGAGGTGGGGCGACAGGGGACACTCAGAACACGCAGGACCTTATAGATCAGTTTTAGCATTCTGACTATGATGGAGAAAGGGAGCCTCTGGGGGGCTCTGAGCAGAGGAGGAGCATGCTCTACTTTACATTTTGGAGAATCACTCTGCTGATGGGAAGAGAGTCGACTGGGGTAGGTGGGGCAAAGATGGAAACAGGAAGGCCAATTAGAACTTTTTTTGCAAATCGAGGTGAAGGATTTTACTGGCTTGAGCTGGGATGGTAGAGTGCAGATCACCAGAAGTGGTCAAATTCTGGATCTTTTAAAGGTAGAACTGTCTGGTTTTGCTGGTGGATCAGATATGTGATGGGAGAGACAGGAGGAGTCAGGGAAGATTTGGGGTTTTGGCTGGAGTGACTGGTAGAATGGAGTTGTCCTTGACTGAGAAGAAGAAGACTGGGGAATCCCCTCAGGGCCTCCGTTGGGCTTTGACTTTCATGGTAAATGGCCTCTTTCTCTCTGTACTTCCTAGTTCTGTGTCCTGAGAGAGGGGGACTAATTGGCTTAGCTTGGATTTGTGCATGAGTCCAATTCTAGTAACAGAGTTATTGGTGGATACACGGGCAGGAAGGGATGTGAGTGGGGCAGCTTCCTTAAAGTAGCTGTCAAGTGATGGATACCATTTGGACATTTCTAGTGTCCTGGCTCTCAACTACCTTTAAGCTTCATCTCCTGTCACCTCTCCCAACCCCCTCTGTCTTTCACCAGGCAGCTTATACTTCAGTCACATTTTTTTTTTTCTTTTGCGGTATACGGGCCTCTTACTGTTGTGCCCTCTCCCGTTGCGGAGCACAGGCTCTGGACGCGCAGGCTCAGCGGCCATGGCTCACGGGCCCAGCCGCTCTGCGGCATGTGGGATCTTCCTGGACCGGGGCACGAACCCATGTCCCCTGCATCGGCAGGCGGACTCTCAACCACTGCGCCACCAGGGAAGCCCTCCAGCCACATTTTGTCTGGTATATTTCCATGCCTCCATGTCTTTGCTCCTGCCGTTCCCTCAACCCAGGACAGTTTCTAACTGTCATACTTGGTGAACCTCAGCTGGGAACTCTGTGGGAGTAGGGTGGGGGGACAGGGCTAGCAGAGTCAGAAGTAGGTGAGTTCTGAGGAACAACGAGGCTGGAGAATAGGCCCTGTTTGTGTTTGGGGTGGGTAAATGGGACTGCAGTTAGAACAGGCAACTGGTCAAAGATTGTAGAACATGTTTTGGGGGCCCTCAGGCTGATTCCAAGCAGAAATCAGCACCCCAGGAGCGACACAGCCTGAAAGCTGGGCAGTGGTGGTTACTGTTGACAGCGGATCCTTGCTGTCCAATTTGGTATGAAGGAGACCAGAAATAGAATAGAAGGTAAGAAGTTCTGGTGGGACCCAGGTAAGAGGCCCTGGCTCCCAATCTGATGAATTGAGCAGGCCAGGGCTCCCATTCTGGGGGCACCTGGAGGCAAAGCCGGGCAGTTGGGGCCAGATAGCCTACTCTACGGGATGAACGCAGCATTGACTGGGCCAACCCAGTGCCCTGACGACCTCCAGGAATTCACTCACTGTGCACCAGGCAATAATCAGGAGTTCTGCCATGCTGGATTTCCATGGGTTCTGAGCAGGCTCTCTGAAGTGGGGTGCACATCTTCCAGGGGGAGCAAGATTATTTATGCATGAGAAGAGAACACTGGAATTTCTATGTATTCTAATCTCATCCTTTTTCTATTTTATGTCTTGTAAGATTCATAATATGTTAGTCTAGTAGTACATTTATGGAATTTGTAAACAAGTAACTATACTTATATTGCAAGTACATATTTACTTCTTTTTACTGATAGGGTGTATGATCAAAGAAGTTTGAAGACCACTCTTCTAAGAGACTGGTGATTAAAAGGAGCAGCACTGGGCAGGATGGAAGGTGGGACTGTCATTTGCTAAGATGGGAATAGGGAGGAGACACAAGTGGGGAGGGAGAAGGAAGGGGATGGACTTGATTAAGGGCTTGCTGATTTGTTGGGGGTCCCACAGTGTCATGATATGAGTAGGCTGGGCAAATAGGCTTGGGGAAAGACAGGCCTGTTGGAATCATGATGGAAAGGAGGTGCCTGGGAGACACTGACCGCAGCCAATGGGAAAGGTCATTCCTAGGTCTGCCTCTAGGCTCTGCTTGCAGCTGCCCAGCCACCCCTGGCAGCGCAGAGCTTCAAGAGGCTTTCAAGTGGGAGGAGACAGAGATGGAAGCTGAGCTGGGAAGGTTTCCCAGGGGCAGAGAAGGAAAGTATCCAAGGGCGGAGAACAGGTGGAGGCCGTAGCCTTTGTGGGAGGGCTGGAACTGGGAGGCTGCTGAAGGGATGGAGAGCAAACCCCTTCCAAGTATCTTAGAAGCAGCCTGGACAATCACTCCATTTCTCCCCCAAACAGGAACAGAGAGACCCAGGGACAGACACTCATCCTTCACTGGACACCCGGGCACAAGAACAGTAAGGGTGTCTGAGAAAACCAACAGTTCTCCCACTTCCCCACCCTCAGACTCACACAGGGACACGTAGACCCACGCAGACCAACAGAAATGGGAGCCAGCGACCAACCAACCGACCCACAATATAGGCGCCTGTATGCCCTCAAGATACACCTGGACTGCACCAATCCTAGCAGCTGCTCGCCCAGGCCAGGACTCCACCAGAATCAGGGGGTGCGCGAGGTCGCTTGAGCCCTCTGGTTCTTCCCCGGTCTCTGCAGGGCTGGATGCTGTCCCGGCCCGGAAATAAATGAGCAGCGAGGAAACTGGTGGCAAGCGTCTGTGGTATCTGTGCGGCCTGGGGGATAAAAATTGAGGCACGGAGGAGGGAGACAGGACAGCAGACAACCCCCCACCCATGTGGAGAGGACCTCCGACGTCGCATTCTGAGAGCCTGCACCCTAAGTTTGGGTGTGGTTGGAGAGGTAGGGAGACCAAATCACTCACTCGAAGGTAGTCCCAAGTTTTGCAAAGCGAAAACTCCTCGCCCCAAAGGGGGAGGTGGGGGGCAGGCAGACTCGTCTGGGCCATTGCCGGCTTTCGGCTGCCGATGAGAGGGTCCGAAAAGGGGTGGGAGGAGGGTCTCAGCAAAGGGGTGGCAGGGTGGTCGCAATGGAAGTGCCCTTGGGAGGATTATTGAGGGTTTATTTGAGATCGAACAGTGTGAGGGAAGGCCTGTCTCAGAGACAGGTAGAGACAAACCTGGAGCCATGGGGAGTGACATACAAAATTTTATTTTTATTATTATTTATTATTATTATTTATTTGTCATGTGCGCAAAAAAAAAAAAAAAAAAAAAAGGAAAAGAATCAAAACGAACCGACGCGCTGAAAGTGGCCAAGGAGACCAGAGCCATCGGGGGATCTTCCGAGGGTTCGGCTGGGTCCTGGGTCTGGGTCCCCTGTCGCGCCAGCCCCACAGGGACTGGAATGGGACGGGCCTCGGAGTTTGAACCTCGGCTCCCTCGCTGCCCGGCTCGGGCCACTGGGGCCTGGCTGGGCACCGGCAGTTCCCTTAACTATTCTCTTCTCTCTCGTTTTCCTTTTCAAAAAAAAAGGCTCCAAGGGAAGAGAGATCTGGGCGAGGACTCCAAGCCTTTTCGGATTTGTTCAAGGATTTTTATTTATTTATTTATTTTTTCACTTTTATTGACTTTGTTTCTGTTATTTCGAGTCGTCACGATCCACGGGTGAGGAGACATGCAGGGCGCATCGCCGCTACCGAGAGAGCAACTACGGGGCAGGGCGGCCTGGCCGCCGGCGCCCCAGGGCGCGCGGGGCACGGCCTCGAGGGGCGAGCCTGGGGGCTGGAGCTGCCACCTCTGATCTAGTCTCAGGGGGCAAGGCAGCCAGGGCAGGGCTGGGGAGAGAGGCCAAGGGAGGGAGAGAGACAAGAGAGACGAAGACAGAGAGACAGAGTCAGGGGGAGAGAAGCAGAGAAGAGAGATGGAGAGGGGAGAGATGCAGAGGAGAGAGATGAGGAGAGAGCGAAAACAGGGAATTACATTGAAATAGCCAACAAAACAGAGGCGAGAGGAGTCCACAGGACCATGTTCGTCATTTTGCATAGAGATTTCTTTTCTTTCGTAATTTTTTGTAACAGAAAAAAAAAAGCCCCCCTCCCCCAGGACGTGCTGTGCTTTAGTGGGCGTGTAGCTGTGTCCCCCCCTCCCCCCCAGCGAGCGGCGACTCTCACAGCACAGACAGCAGGGCGTATCTACAGGCAGGACGGGCGGGCAACTGGGACTCTACCCGGCGGGGCGGGGCGGGGTGGACGGGGTGGGGTTATATACACAGGGGTTCGCCTTCACACGACACACACCGTCTTTCTACGAAGCAGCAACCTGTTGGGTTTTTGTTTTTGTTTTCCTCTTTTGCAAAGACCATCATATTAAATAAATGTAGACTTTTTGCGGCCCTGTTCATTTCCTGCCAGAGGAGGAGGCTGGACGTGGGTGGGAGGGGGTGGAGTGGGCAGCCCCCCACCTCCCACCCCGCGCAGCTCATACGCCAGCTCAGACCCTGCTCCCACCACCTGCAGATGGAGAGTCTGTGTCGGGGGAGTGGGGGGGCATCAAGCAACCGCTCGGGGAAGACCAGTGCCGCGGCCTGCGGAAACTAGTCCTGAGGCAGGCACGGAAGAGCCTCCGGCGGGGCAGCGAGTTAGGGAGGAGAGATGCAGAGCGTCGTGGGCTGGGAAAAGGACGGGCAGGAGGGGGAAGTGCGAGGTCGGCAGATGGAAGAGACGCTGAGGTAGGGGCAAGGCGGGGCTGAGAGTCTGGTCACTGGTAGGAGATGCCTGGGCCCTGGGGAACTGGTTAATTCAGGTGGAGTAGGGAAGAGCCAAGAGTCGGGCTCCGTGGGTGCGGGCTGCTGAGGCCTGCGTGCCTTGGGTCACAACCTTGGAAACACCTGACAACCCAGCCCCCCCCCCCCCGCCCCCGTCCCCGTCCCTAGAGCCCGGCCCTCACGCCCCCATTCCATTCCACCTTCTGGGCAGGGCACAGGTGGGAGCAGTCCGGTTGGCGCCGGGGTGCGGACTTTTTCCCGGGGACTTGGCGGGAGGCTCTTCCCCCTTCTGCAGAACATCGTTTTGTTCTTAATTTCCTTTGCCCAGCGAAGCCTCCCGGCGCCGGAGCGTCCGAGGCGGGCTGCTCCGGGGCTGGGCCGCGCTGCAGTCCGCGCTGATTGTGTGTCACAGAAACGTGTCCCCCGCGCAGCGGCGGGCTCGGCCAGAGTCCGGCGGTGTGGCTGGTCGACTCCCGGGTCGGCTCGGGCGAGGCGGGGATGAGCTGTGTCGGACCCTCCTCGCGACGCCGCGTTGTCCAGGCAGGCGGGGAGGGGCGGCGGGCGGGATTGGGGGCGGCGGGCCCGGGCCTGAGGGTCCCGCTCGCGGCTCCACCCGTCCTGTCCGGCCTTCGACGGGGTGAAGTGAAGGGCTGTAGGGGTCCTGGGATGGGGTGGGTCTGGGGCGGTGGCCGGGAGGCTTCTTGTCGCGTCGATCCTCCCTCCCTCCGGGGTGGGCGGTCAGACGGGGACGATGTGGAGGCCAAAGCTGTCGGCCTGAAGCTTGATGTGGTCCCCGCGGTAACTAGTGGCGGTCATAGGCAGCGGCAGCAGCGGCAGGGGCGGAGCCCCGGGGGGCGGCACTATAATAATAAGGGGAACCTGGAAGTTAACACAGGAGAAGAATGGGCTGGGTGAGAGGACAAACAGGAGAACAAAAAAGGAAAGAAAAGCAAAGCAAAGACCTCCCCGGGCTGGGGTCTAGCAGGGTCCGGGCAGGGAGGCATTGGCTGGGCTGCGGGGCTGGTTGCCCCCAGGAGAGCTGCATTCACCGGGTGGGAGAGGGACCCGATCGGTGTCGGCCGCCGCCCGACTGCGGACCTTCAGGGGGCCCGAGAGTGGGGGCGGTGCAGAGCCTTCCAGCGACGGGGAAGGGAGCGGAGGGGAGAGTTAGGAAGGAGCGGGAGGCGCGAGCGTCCTCTAGGGATCCCGGGGCCTCAGTGCTGCACTAACAAGCCTGCCGGGCTGGGCACCCAAAGGGCGGGTCGCGGGGAATCGGACCCGCGTCCGGAAGCACTGCCGAGCTGGCCGGGGGGCGGACGGAAGCGCTGAGCCGCCGGCCAGCCAGGTGGCGTACTCACTTAGTAAGGCGGGGTTGCTGAATCTCCAAGCCTCGTTGTAGGCCGTGTACTGGGGATGGCTGTACGGGCTGCCGGAGAACTCGCTCCCTGCGGGAGGGCGAGGGAGTGGGGATCAGACACGGCGCAACGCCAGAGCGGACCCGACGTGCCCGGCCAGCGGCCTCCCCCGTCTCTCCGAGGTTCAGGTGCAGCGGGCAGGGTAATGCCCACTGCGGGCGGACGGCAGGGTGGAGGCGGAACAATCCACCTGGTCCAAATGGGGGGAGCCCATGGGGTGTGTGTATGCGTGTGCGCGCAAAAGCACCGACCCGCCTCGCACACCGGCGTGGAGGTAACTGCGGGGCGGTGCCCGCCTGGGGCTCCCCCCACGGAGGCGCTCCGGGCCACCCAGGAAGGGTTTGTTCCGGGTCCAGGAGCGCCTACGCCGCTGCGTTGGGGGCCAGCGTCTCTTTAGTGGAAACTCCGGTTCTAGGAGCCACAGCCCCATAGGGTGGAAGCGGGGGAGGGTGGCGAAGACAGGCCCTCGGGACGCTTTGTCCCAGAAAGTCCTGAGAATGGCATCTCAGCATGGTGCCAGTACAAGGGGTGGGGGCTCTGCTGGGAAACACCCCCCTCCCTCCTTTCCCTCTAGAGATTTGATAGGTGGGCCACGCAGCAGGGGAAGGAGGCGGCGGGAGGCAGGTGGACTGCCCGCCGGTTCTCAAGCGGTGAGCGGAGGGCCCCGTGGGCTGGGAGCCGTCGGAAGCTGCTTCCCTCCCTTCGCGGGAGAAAGGCCAGGCCTCCGGGTTTCCCCCTCGCCCTTTCTCCTGTGTGATGACCCCAGACTGTTTACAGTGATCCCTAACCGCGGGTTAAGTAGAGGAGAAGGGGCCCCTCTCGGAGAGGGAGCTGGGGTGGGGGTGGGGGATGCAGCCACTGGAAAGCCTGTTTATTGACGAGGAGGGAAAGCATGCGTGCAGCAGGATAATGAGCTTCTGAGCTCAACTGTGACCAAGAGGAACTGAGCTATCTCCTTCCCCATCGCTAATGAAACAAGTGTAATTTCCTCATCAGCACTAGATTCTGTTTAACGACTCCCCCCTTGCCACCATGAGCTCTCTGAGGCTCCCCTCATCCCCATCCCCTTGCAGACTCCCCCCTCCCTCACCCCTGTCTCTCTAAGACCTCCTCCAGCCTCCACCTGCTCACTGCTGGAACCTTCCCTGAAGAACCTCCTGGCACCCAACACTTCCATTCGCCCTACCCCAAATCTGGGCAGGGATACCCTCACCCACACCAGCAGCTCTCCTTACCCAGTTCCTCCAACTCCCTTCAGCCCCTATTCTACAACACCCAGCAGCAGTCTCCCTCTTGGCCAGCCCCCTACATCCACCTCTGCTTACCCAGGGCTGTCCCTGAATGAACGGTCCAGGAATGGGGCCAGTCACCCTACTCTATCTTCCCCCGCATGAGAGCTGAGCTTCAGGGAAGGGGCACACAGAGGGCAGCCAGCAGGACAGGAAGCAGGCCCAGTGAGTCTCATCCTCTTTAAGACAAGAGTTTTTTGGTGCTTCTGTGAATAGGAACTTCAACTCTCTTTGGCTTCAAGCCCAGCTCCCAATCTGGGGTGAGGGGTTGGGGAGAGCACAACCTCCAGCTGCAGTCACCAGACCCCAAATATGGCCTCTGTCTCTCTGATCCACACAGCCCAAACCCAGCTCCTCTCAGATGGGGACGGGTCAGAGCCCCCAGGAGCAATGAGGGCCCAGGGCTCCTCTCAGGAGATGTGGAGGTGCTCCAGCTTGTCTCTCTCTGAAGCCAGTCTCTCTGGTTCCTGCCACAGTCTGTCTTCTGTTCCTCTTTCCTTAGGGAATAACTCCCTTCTCTCCCTGGGGTGGGGTCGGCTCTCCACACTGGTCTTCCCTGTGGGTTGGTGTGGACCAGGGTGGCTTTGTCTGAGTGACAGACATGCCCCTGGAAATGGTTCTTGGCTCCAAGTTTCCATGGAAACCAGGGCAGACTCTTCCAAGCAGTGTCAGCTGGCTGGGGGTGGGCTGGGGCACTGAGTGTGGAGCTGAGGCTGCGTGCTCCTGGACACAGACTGGGGTGGGTGGGCACTGCGGAGGGGCCAGGACGTACAGAAGGGTGCACACACTACTGCAAGCACTTCCGCAAGTTCCCTCCCTGGATTACTCATGAAGGAAGATGAGGGACCCCGGCTGCAGCCTCTAGGGAGAGAGAGGGATAGAACAGCAGTGGTTTGCAGGGGAGGAGATGTTGGGTCTCCCCCAGCCCCAGCCTCAGACTACAGACCACTCAGCGGCTCACCCACAGTTTAGCTACTCCCACCTAAAATAGGCAGCTGCAGCATTGTCACCTACCAGGCACCATTCCTGCCAGGGTGGAGGTGGGGTAGCTTCCCTGGCCAGTGGGGGGCACGTGAGGGGGGTAACCAGGCAGAGTGGTGCTCGCCATGTCACGACCTGGAAAAACACAAAGGGGAAGGGGTGAGGCCTGGAAGAGAGGGGCCTGCCTCTGCTCACACAAGGGTACTCCATGGAAAAGAAAGCGCTGAGTGCAGACATGTAGGGGCACACCTGAATGAGAAGGTCCAGGTGTGCCCTTACATGTATCTAAGCTTACCTAAATGTCCTATGAGCAGCTGTGTGTGTGCACCTCTGCTCTGTGTAGCTCTTTGTGTGTCTCTCTGTGCATGTGTGTATGTGTGTTTGCCTTTGCTTGTGTCTCTTTGTAGCCCAAACCCAGATGGAGAAGGGAGGGAGATGACCTGGTTTTACTCCTCCTTCCCAGTGAGATATTCAGCTGTGGTCTATCCAGTAGCCAAATGAACCTCTATCATCTTGCTCACCTCTCCCCTCTTTAACACCCCATCTTTCCTTCAGGCTTGGAGGACACCCCACCAGCACTTGTACAGGAGCTGATGGGTATTCCTTGTCCTCTCCAAGTGAAGCTGCAGGTGCTGGGCCTGGCAGGTGTGAAGAGTGGGGGGCCAGCCAGTGGGCTATTTTGCTGTCAGTGTTCATGGCATTTAAATGATAGAAAACCATCCCTGAAGCAAATCAGGAGCTTTGAGCTAACAGTGCAAATGGATCAGATCAAGTTCCAATGAGCAAAGCCTGCTCTCCCCACTAGCTGCTAGACTTCTGTCCCTGGAGGTGTCTATTAGCTAGAGTGTGGAGAGTGGGAGGAAGGGCTTTCCTAGTATCCTGGAGTGAAGGCAAAGTGAGCCAATCTTAGGGAGATACCCATGGTCCACAGATATCTCTGGAACACAGCTGTATCTGAACGGCCCCCCTTCCTTGCCTGCCCCCTCCATCGCCATGAAGCGGTCACCGCCTTCTTTGCAATTTAGCATGCTCCAATCTCTAATGACAATAAATTTGTCCTCTCCCATACTTCCATGCCCTAGAGACTACTTCATCCTTTTCTGGGTCCTGGGTCCCCTTTCTCCTCTCCATATTTCCCTTACACTCCTCGTCAGCCAGTGCCACTCTCCCACTTCAGTGCCTCTGTCCAACCCTGGGAAGAGGTGTGGCTGGAGGAAGGCAAGAACTAGGCATCTCTGGCCCACTTTCTTTTCATCAGTTGCCCTAGACCTCATCCTCCCGATGGCTATTCCAAAGCATTTCTCTCTCTCCTTGCCACTCTCTCCTTAAAGTCGACCTCACCTCCAACTTTCCTGAAATGTGTGAGTTTCCTCACTGCTACCTTAACACATCTGAATGATTCATCCTTCCCTAAGTAGACAGGGATGCAGCTCAGGCTTTTGCATTCCCAGCTGCCTGTGAACCTTTTCATTAGCTGTCCCACTGTCACCTCAACCCTGACAGGAATAAAAGAGATCACCTTCCCCCCAGTCAGTTCTACTGACCTACTTGAAGACCATCAGACCAAAACCTCTGGAGTCGTTCTTGACATAGCACGCCCAGCTTTGAAGTCAGTCGCTGGGTGTTGTCAATTCTCCTTAGCAATATCTGTTACATCTGTCCCACCTTCATTTCCTCCACCACCTCCACAGCTCAGCGCCTAAGCACCTGCCCTGGGTCTGCCACAACAGTTTTTTTGCTGGTATTCCCTGCCTCCACATTCTTCTCCTTCAGTCTATGCCTCACGTGGCTGCTTGGCTAGCCCTCATGAAACGCTGCTTTCATCACATCACTTCCCTTGTAAGAGCCATCATGGATTCTCTGTAGTCTACAGTTTGGGTGTCTCTCAGGCAGTCTACACTCTGCCAGGCGTTCAAAGCCTCCCAGGTACTCTTCCCCACCCAGTTTTCTCAGCTCTGATTCTCACCCCTTCTGGTTTAGTGTGACTGTTTTCACTGGCTTGGATGCTGTGAAATCTCTGCTTTTGCTACCTCTTTTCTTCTTCTTGCTATAGTTTCCCTTTCCTTCCCTTATAAGCTCAAGGCTTAAAACCCCTACTATTCTACCCATCGGAGAAGTTTCTCTCTTCTAAACTTCTATAATGTCTGTGCTCCATGGTTTACCACGTCACTACAGTTCATGAAACATCAGCCCTGTTGTTTTCCTCCTCAAACAGATCATAATCAAACGGAGGGCAGGCCCTGTCTTCTGCTCTGTAATACAGTTGAGAATACGGTAGATGCTCAATAAAAACTTATTGACTAATTCTCTATCACTCTATTGGACTTAACAGCCAATTCCTGGTGGATTATATTGTTTTCTGTTTCATATATGTTGGTGTCCTTTGAAGAGGTAAAAGTTGGGCTAAATGTTTCAATCTGCTTTTTTCCTACAAATAATTTGAACAATGGATTGTGAATTTTTATAAGATGATGAAAGATTTATACAGGATGATGAAAGAGGGACTCATATGATGTGACTCAGCTTTATCATGCAACAGAATGATTTTCTCTCTACTTATTAATATAGCTAATATCTTACATTTTAAAACTCAAGGACAAACAACAGAGTAGAACTGTCAAACAAGAGATCATTTTGAACTCCCAGAGAGATAGCAGAGAGAATCTGTGTTTGCTCTGTGTGGGTTTTCTTTCATTGACTTCTACTGTCAACTAAATGTACAATCTTCCTGACCATCTCTCAGTGGAGAGGACTTCAAGTGGACAAGTAAGCAACATCTATCAATTCCTAGAGAGATTAATAATATGGCATTTCATTGTCAAAAAAGGCCTAAGAGGGGAGAGTTAGTGAGGATGTAGAGGTTTTGAATAGAAAAATACAGAAATCCAATTCTTGGTCTTGTGATCCTAATGTCCACAAAGCAGTCAGGAAGAGAAGGCTGCTTCTTTCTCAATAAACAGGAATTTAAATGCATCTGAATTCTGATTTGCAGCTGCATAGCTCCCTCAGCTTTTCACACACAAATTCCTTGTACTCTAAGGTTGTGTCACACACTCCCTTACTTAGCTTCAGGAGAGAAGAGGAAATGTGGGATGACTAGAAAGGTGTTTCCAGCTACCTGGAGGCACCCCTATTGCAGTGTTTACTTCCACTGGATCTTTCTCTTGCAAATGGTCCAACTGCCAGCATATAGAAACTTTGGCCTGCTGAAAGTCAGCCACAGAACTGTTGATTGAGAGACACATTTCCAAATTCTATTTTAAAAACTGAATCTGGGAAGTGCTATTCAAGCATTTTTTTAAGTGTGAGAGACGAGACCCATGATGAGGAAAAAGCACGCAAGCACACGGCTGTGATTCTGCTGTTGTGGATTCTGTAACATCAGTACAGCATCACTGGATTCTGTAACATCAGTACAGCATCACTACCAAGAGGTGCCCGTTCAGGACCCCTGAGCCAACAAAGGTATAAGCCACTGCATACAAAGCACCCTCAATGGCTTCATTAGCACACAGGTGACACCTGAAGAACAGGAACAAATTGACCAAACTCTTGCCAGAGCCATATATTCTTCTGGAACACCATTGTCAATAATAGAAAGCACACACTGCAGGAAGTTTTCAAATTACTAAGACTGTCATACCATTTGCCCAGCAGCATTCTTCGAGCAAACTTCTTTTAGTGAATGAATATGAATGGGTAATGGAATCTGTGCAAGGAAGAATCGACAGAGTGCTGGGCGTTGCATTACTACCGATGGGTGGACAAAGGGGAGCGGAGACAGACTCTAAAACTGTATGACATCACAGCCACCTCCTTCAAGCAAACAGGCAAAAGTGCAGAAAGAGGAGAAAAATAGCTTCAGAGCAGAATACATCAGTTATAAAATATGTCATCCGACAGACGATAGGAAGCAGTAAAGCATTTGCTTTGCTCACTGACAATGCCAGGAACATGAAAGCAGCACGAAGAATTACACATGGATAAAAACCCACATACTACAAGAGGATGGGCATTTCCTGTTGGATAATTGCTTCCTAAGATTACGAAGTTTTAAAGATGGAAGAGCCTTCGAGATGATCAGTCTCACTTCCTTGTTTTCAAGTTGAGAAAATGGGGGCACAGAGAGGCATCGTGACTGTCCTATGGCTACAGAGCTAGTAACTGACGGAGCCAACGTGTGAAGCTAGGTCTGTACCACACTGCCTTTTAATGATAACATGAAGTTAGATACTCCCCAAAAGAGCCAAAGAAAAGGAAAAAGAAGTCATCTGACAAGCAAAATCTCATATTGTCACTGCTGTCATTAGGATGAGGCAAGAAAAACAGGACACAAAGCATAAAATATTGACACTGAAAGTCTGTAGTAAAACCCCATGGGGTGGAGCATCAATCTCTTTGGAGAGTTTTCTGAAAAACAAAGAGGCTCTTCAAGAAACAGGAGTAGCTGAGAATCTAAAGCACCCAGAAGTGTTAGAAGCACTGTATTTGATGAGGATGTCTTCTCAGTTCAACTGCAGAAGTCCCTGAAGATTCTAAAGCCAATTTCTACAGCAATCACTACATCTGAATCAGACAGTGCACTTTGGTCAGACATTCCTTACCAAATGGGCCAGATCAAATCAACTGTTTCGGAGAATCTAAGTGCAGTTCCTCTTACAAGTACAGAGAAAAGCAAAGTGAAAGACTTTATTAAGAAAATTTCAGTCACTGGATAATTTATGCTGTTTTTTCAGGTCTTAGGATCCAAGGGCAGAGTTGTGTTTCTACTTGCACCTAGACTAGCTAGCATTCACTGAGCACCTACTATCATGGCAGGCACGGTCCTAAATATTTTCTATATATTATCTCACTTAATCCCCATATCAACCTATGATGTTGATCTGTTTTAAATCCCCATTTTATGGATGAGAAACTGAAACTCGGAGGGGTTAAGTATTATATCCAAGATTTCACAGCCAGTAGATGACAGGACCTGGACTACAGAACAAGCCGTATACTTGGGGATGGATTCTAGAATGACATTCTCAAATAATGTAGACCCAGAAAATAGGTATTTGGTCCAGGAAAGTAACCTGGGATTATGCTAAGCGAATCCTTCCTATAACAGAACATCTTGTCGCTTCTTGTTTCTT